CTCCTATGATTTTTATTCTATAATCATACAATGTGGTTTTATATTTGTATGTCTATAAATACATTTATATAAATATACATGAACATCAGTATCTTATCTGGGTTTTTTTTAAATTCATGGAATAATATGCTGTTTTTTCCTGAAGATTTTTCTCTAGATTCTCGTCACTGAATATATGTTACTGATAGAATGAGAAGGAAACATGCTCTTCGTAAACAGTTGGCAGACAGGAACTGTCTTACAAATGATCAGGCGGGACAGGGCAGGCACACAGGAGCCAGCTATAATAAAACCTGGTGCAGTCAGCGATGCTACAGGCAGTGTGGTGTTCTCAGAGGGGACTTCTCTCCAGGAAATGTGTACCCCCGTGTTTCCCTGAGGCTCAGGAACTAGGATATTCTGAAATTGAGGGCCATTGAGGTCACAGTGATGCTCAGATGAGGCAAGAAGGTCTTCACTGACTGCTCCAGCCACCACCTCCTCCTGGCATGGCCTACAGAATGGAGCGCACAACTTCAGGACGACTGTAGTGAGTGTTGTGGGACAGCCTTCAAAAGGGCATTAGAGGAAGGCCAGGTTCTTTCTCCACCTGTGTCGTGAAGTGGAGCGGTCCTTGCAGGATCAGGGAAGTCCAGTCAGTCACGCATATGCAATGACCAGCCTCTTGTTCCCAGGGACCTCTAAGCTGAGAAGTGGCCTAGCGGTCACTCTTAAACCAAGAGTCACACAGCCATGGGTCAGTTTTGGCTCCAACACTGTGACAGTGGACTGAGTGTCCCTCCCTATGAGAACCGGGAATATGAACATCTGCACACGATCCTGGAGAGGATCCCATGGTGCTACAGGCCGCGTGCTCAGTGTAGTCTGCTGAGCGTCCCAGCCACCCATACCTTTACTGGGCTTGAAGTTTTGATTGCTACTTTTCCTTGTTCAGTGTCAGGTACTTGTAGCTGCCTGTGTGCAGTTGTCACAGACTTGGAGGAGTCCTCCTTTCCTTGTTCCTTCTTGGCTTGCTGTGATTTCCAAATGTAGTTACCCTTGACAACCTTGGGGAGTCAGGACCACAGCGAGCACTGCGACCAAGTCTGAGGGTGCTCGAGTCTCTAACGTGTTTTCATGTGGTCTGTTCACCCTCTCCTGCAGCCTTTAAGCCATTCTGAGACCCTCTGTAATACCTACTGCCACGTCAAAGCTTTGTGAATAGTCACTGCATTGTGTGATGTGGGAAGCGATGACAGGAAAGCCATTTGTGCATGTTCAGTACAGGTGCATTTGTTTTTCAAATACAGGTTCAGCATTCCTTCTCTAAACATATGAGATCTTAAACATTCTGAGCACCAGTATAATGTTCCAAATTTTGGGGGGGTTTTGGAGCATGTAGGATTCCAGACTTTCAAATTACAGATACTTAACTGCTGAAGTCTGTGTGTGAACAAACATTGTGGATAGGAGAGCATGCAGTGCTTGGCTGAATCTGCAGGTGCACAGCGGGTGTCCGTGGGAGCTGCTATGCTCATCTCAGTGTTGAGTGTGCACTTGGAGCCTACTGAGGTCTCGGTCATGGGCAATGGCTTTCTCTATCCCTTCCCCCTCTCAAGTGGCAGCTCTTCTTTCGGGCTGTATATTCTGCGGATCATAATGCGGTTGGAAGCTGTACGTTCTAGAACACACCTGATCGCAGGTCCTGTTAGTTTCTTGCCAGCAGCATGATTTCAGGCAGGCTGCTTGGCTGTCCGAGCCTGAGTAGCCGTCGTTGGCTGACATGGGGAGGACAGTGGCGCTCATGTACCCAGGCAATGGGAGGATCCGATGACACGACTTGTGTGAAGCTCCCAGCTCGGGGCTGGGTGCACCATTCATCTCTCTCTTTCCTAAGACGCTGGCCAGCCTGCTAAGACAGGGTCTGTTTTCTACTCCTGGCCACCTATCCTCTGTGTTAGTGGACAAGTCAATACACACACCCGTGAAATAAAATGCCACCTTATTAATTCAGGGACACCCCCCCCCACACACACACACTTCATTGGAAATTCATGATCATTCTATCAGGACCAGGTTGACATTGGCTTTGTCAGTGTAATCTTATGGGAGAGAAAGGAGAAGGCCAAGGTGGGGGCGGTGACAGGCTTGCTTGGCGTGCGCCCAGTGCTGCTGGTGGTTCCTCATAGGAAGTCGGAAGCGAGTGGACTTTGCTGGCAATGTTTGTGCTACCTAGGTGTCAGGGCAATCATCTGGGAGAATGTAGTTTCTAGTGGGAAGGCAGCATGTTCAGTGCTGTTCATCCTCTGAAAAACAGTGTCTTTGGAGGGCAGTTGCATTTAGTTTTTTTTTTTTTTAAAGCCCACACCATTCTAATGTCTCCTGGCACCATTACTGGTGAGGGGGATGCGCTTCTCAACATTCAGACTCCATAAACTTGGTAATCCTGCAAGGGCCAGTGGTGCTTGGCTGTTGGGGTGTTAGGATACACCAGACACCACAGTGGCCACTGTGCAGCTGTATGAATTCCCATTTCACCACTTAAGTTGTGGATTTAATTTTATAAAAGCCTTTCACTGTTTTCTATAAAGAACAAACTTGGAATCTCCTGCACAAAAACTTTCACGTTCTTGTATTTCATAAATGTGTGACAGAAAGATGGGTGTGCAGGGTGGTTGAAGGCTAGACTTAAACATTGGCGTGATGTAAGCAAGGCGTTCCTAAGTAACTCACAGATTCTCAGCATGCAATGCTTCCTAAGACACAGAGCAGTTTAGTGTCTTCTCCGTGACAGTGGCGCTGTGCCTACACCCAGTGCCCGGGGACTCCAAGCACCTGTCCCTCCTTCTCACATGGACCCTGTCTTACACTGCTCAGGATGCCAGAAGGAGGGAGAAGGCAGGAAGCTCTGTCTCTGCAGGCTGTCAGGCAAATGGTTACTCCTGGAGCCAAAGTTACAATAGCCACTTTATCAGCCTTCTCAGGATTAAACTGAATTCTCAGATTCTCCTGTATGCAGCACACAGTAGGGCCCTGAGATACACCAGTTGTCAAATGTTGCATACTTTGTATAAGCAATGTCCAGGTTCTAGCAACCACAAGAACCTTCGCTCCTGCACCGTCTGCAGATTCTCTTAGAACTCCCCTTTCAGGAACTGGGCAGGTACAAAGAATTGTTTTCTGTTTTTCTTCTAATAGTGAAGGCAGTGATTAAGAAAAAAAAAGACTAGAAAATGGTCACGGAGACATAAAAGCCAACACTAAGGAAAGGCCTGACTATGATGTTCTTAGCACAGGACTGAGCAGACAGAAGCCACGATGCAGAAAACCCAGACTTTGGTATTGTTCACAAAGAAGGGAGACCATGCCTTTTCATCAGTTGCACAGGCGAATCAGAAAACTGATTCCCCGTCTTTACATTTGTTTTCATATTCTTGGCATCAGCTTGATTTGTTAATTCAATGGGTATATTAGGGAATGCCTGTTTTTAAAAAGCAGCCCCCCAAATACCAATTAGAAATGCCTGGAGATAGCGGGAAGCAAAGGGAGAGATGAGCTGAGACGGTGACCTACAGCAGCCCTTCCCCTGGGAAAGTTGGTGTCACCTCCATCATTAATGTGGGCCAGGCTTGGTGTCCAACCTCACTGGCTGTCTAATTTATCAAATTAGGTACAAACGAGCAAATCCTTAGTTGGGGTGGGCAAGGAGAAGAACTCTGCCATCTTGTTTTTTTTTTTTTTTTATCAACTGAAAACAACCCTTTGAGCAAAGACTGGGGAAATGATAGCCTCGCATTTGCCTCGGGGGGACCCAGGTAAAGGGCTTCCTGTGCCCACACTGGCTCAGCAAAAGACTGCTTGCTGTTTAGTCAAAGAAATGGCCCGGGCCTGCTCTTCACTGCTGCTCTCTGGAGTAACCTGCTGACAGGGTCCAGCGCTCAGTGCCCCCGCTGCCCCATCCTGCTGGTGGAGCTGCAGGAAAGTTGTTAGCAAGGCCGCACCCCACGTGTTGTGTTTCCCACAGGGTGTGTGGTGGTGCCAATGTTGTGGAAATACCGCTGACCTTCCGGGCTGCCCTGTACTAAATGCGATGGATTCAGTGGAATTAGAGTGCATTGGGGATTGGAGAGTATTTGGAGCTGTGTAATCAAGCAGCCCTGCCCTAGACTCTGGAAGGCTCCTGGGCTAGAGCAATTGTGCGAGTGTGACGTGCACTTGGGTGGGCACCCTGGGCCAGCCACAGGCCTTCCTGGTGCCTTGGTTTCCCTCTCAACTGCTGACAGGCTGCTGCCTGAGCGTGTGCCCCTAGCCCTTGGAAATGGGAAGTAACCTAGAGCTCTCTTTGTGCCATGATTCGCACAGTGCAGCAGAAGCCCTCCTAACCTAACTCTCCCCTTGGGCTTCTGACACTGCTCTGGCCTCCCCTCAGTCCCCAGCCACCACCCGAGGCACACAGGTGTCTTGCTCATTCTTCCCAGATCCGATGTCCAAGATGTCATTCAGCTGTCTCTCTCTATGCTTCATGAAACTGGCCTTCTACCCAAATCTGGCTCCTTCTGCACTAAGTTTCAGTTTCCCGTGTCATCTTGAAACCCTGGGTTCTGTGGAACTGTCTATACATTCTATAGGTTTGGATGAAGAAGATGCCAGCTGTGCAGTCGTTCTGTGTCCTGTTGGTCCCTGACTTGTCTGTGTCGATGCCCCTTGCTGACATATCGACTGACATGGGCCCTGCCTTTACCGCACTCCACAGCTCTGTCTCATACTTGGAAGGGGAATGTGAACACTAAAAATTAACAAATAAAACCAGATTTTAACAAAAGCCTTGCAGAAAAGGACATATCCAAAGTATTCAAATATATTTCACCATGTTTGTTTACTTACGCATCGGTTACAGTAATATACCTTTTTTGGTATGAACCGCACCTCCCCCTCCCCCTACTTAGGCTCTGGTCAGTGATATTTAAAATATAGAAATCCTGTTCACTAGAATAAAATCTTCATTAAAATATATATTTTTTCCTTTAGAAAATGAGTTCAAAACGTATTAGGGCCTAGTTTTAAAAAGCAACATGCTGTAGCTGATTTATTTTGGTTGTGTTCATTAAGTGTGAAAAATGTTACTACTTCAACTAGCAAGAACTATAAATAATACATTATTGCAACTGTTCTAAAAAATCAGAACAAAACTAATTTATTATAGTTCTGTCTTCATTACACACCACATGTTGGTGAGTGAAACACAACAAAATTATTGTCTTTTCCTTTAAAAGTGTCTACTAAAGATAAAAAGAATAAGGTAACGGTAACAATTAACATGTAGTGTGTTACATTAAAAAAAAAAACAAACCTCTGGCTTACATATTTCTATTGCCTGATAGCTTATTCTAAGCCTCATTAACTATTAAAGAGAGAGAGAGAAATCATACTCAAAGGCAAAAATTCAGTTCAGTTGATACAACATTACAGTACAGTCGACTAACATTCAAGGAAGTTGACACGCCTACACTTAGCCTCTTGAGGTTCAAGTCCACAGTCCCATCTGCAGGGCAGCTCTGTGGAGGCCGTGGTGCATTCTGGGATGGCTTCAGAAGAAGGGCTGTGCTACTGGCGAAAGCTCAGGGCAGCCCGGCCTGGCACTGACTGGAGTTCTGGAGCATTGCAGTGATACCTAAAGTAATCATCGTCATAATAGAATCACAACAATGAGAGGAATAAAATGAACCACAGCATGGAAGCCTGGAGCTGCTGCTGGCTGTGCCAAACCCTTGCAATGCTCTATAATCATCATCATCGTAATATTAATAATAATAATAATAAAATTCCAAAACATCCACCCGTCCTCTCCACTCTGCCACGAACTAGCAGAGTCAAAAATACAAAAGTCTTCAACTTGTTACTTTTGCATAATAAAGCAAAAATGTCTTTGTGCTCCTTCCTACCAGAAGCAGAATGCCCGGTTGGGGTGGGGGTCACCACATGTAGTAGCTCCTGGACGTGTCCACCTGCACAGGCTTGGGCTCTGCAGAGCCCTCCTTGTCCTTCTCGCTGTCTCCCTCCCAGAGGTTAATGAGCGGTGGGTACAGTTCGTTGAGTGGGATAGAGGAAGTCTTCTGCATGTACTTTTTTAATGAGTGGTGGTAGTTTTTCCTCTTGAACCGCTTGGCAATGTACACAGCGATGGACGTGAGGCTGATGACGGCAAACATGGACCCCATCACCGCGGCGAGGGCTGTACTGGCGTCTTGATCGGAGATGTCCAGCGCGAAGGCGGCAGTTTTGGTCGTGACGTTCACACACGACTTCTGAGTCTGCTGGTGGATGTTGGACACCGTGAGACACACTTCGTAGTCTGTGGAAGGCTGCAGGTGCGTCAGGTTGTACTCGTGGACGTCCACTGGGACCCTGGCCGTGTACGTTATGTGGGGGTTGTCGATCTTCATGGTGGCAGAGGACCATTTCAAGTTGGACGTCATGACATTGGAATTAACTTTCCAGGACACTAAAATGGAGTGAGATTCCGTCTGCTTGACGTAGATTTTCAGCACCTGGGTGCCATCCAGCAGGGTCCCGTTAACCTTAATCGTCGCCACTCTAGTGTCTGCCCCTTGGATGTTCTGGGCAACACACGTGTATCTCCCCGAGTCTTCAATCTGTATGTTAGCTATTTCCAACGTGCCTTCGCTGCTCAGCCTGTATTTATCCGAAAGCGTTTCCACAGTTATCTTACTTCCTACAGGAGTGACCCAGTAAATCTCAGGCTCTGGCTCAGCCATGGCCCGGCAGTCGAGGAAGACCGTGGTGCCGATATCCATGTTTAAGTGGTTGGGGAACGAGTCGTGAGCGATCATGGGCAGGCACTGGTCCCCCGCGTCTTGGATTAAGACCTCCTTCACCTGCTGCCCTCTGTATTCGGGGGGCATGGCACAGAACATGGACAGGGGCTCCATGAAGCGGATGTTGGTCTTGTTGGAGTTGATCCAGTGAGTGACACAGTCACATCTCAGGGGGTTGCTGTGGATGCTCAGCTCTCGCAGGTTGGGGAGAGACTCCACCGTCTTTTGGTAAACGGCGTTCAGCGCATTGTTGTTGAGCATCAGGCTTTCCAGGGCAGGAACGCTTCGGAACGCCGAGCGGTGGATGTAGGAGAGCTTGGGGTTGTTGGTGGCCTCCAGCTTGGTGAGCTCCGGCAGGTTGTCCAGGGCGTAACGGTCCACGGACACCAGCTCCCCCATGTTGTTGATGCCCAGCTCCTTCAGCCGCAGCATGTTCCTGAAGTCCCCTTCTTGGATTTTGTGAATGGGGTTTTTGTTGAGGTCTAAGAATTTCAGGTTTGGAACTTTCTGCAGGGCAAGCTGGGGGACTTTGATGAGTTTGTTGTCATAAAAAGACAGGCTCTCCAGGCTGTCTAAGCCCACCAAGGCATTGCCGGGGATGTCGGTGAGAAACATCCCCGCCAGGACTAAACTCCTCAGATTCGAGAGGGGTTTGAAGTTCATGTCCAGGATGCCGATCACAGGGTTTTCGCCAATCATGAGGATCTCCAGGTTTGGTGTCGAGTCAAACCAGCGGCTGTCGATGACTTTGAGTTTGTTGGAGTTCAGGTGGAGCCTCAGGAGATTTCTCAAGCCTGAGAAGGCGTTAGCAGAAATGGTGCTGATCTGATTGTGGTTGATGTAGAGCTCCTGGAGGTTGGCAAGGTCCTGCAGGCAGTAATCCGTCATCTCGGCGATCTGATTCTCCTCCAGGTGCAGAGTGGTGAGCTGGGTCAGGTTGGCCAGCCCCACCTCCTTGATGTTGGTGAAGTTGTTCTGGGAGAAGTCCAGTTCGGTCAGATTGAAGAGCTGCTGCAGCTCATCCACCGTTTTTGCGATGTTGTTGCTCTGCAGGAGCAGCACCTGCGTGTCCGTGGAGAGGTTGCTGGGGATTCTGGTTAAGCGGAGGTCATTGCAGTCAACCGTGGTGGCTTCTCGGTAGGTCGACTGGGGGGTAAACCAGGGACGGATCTCACAGACACAAAGCTGCGGGCACTCGCCGTTCAGTGAGGAAGAGCCAGCCAGAGAGGCCAGCAGCAAGCCCAGCATCACCCTGCGGGCCACTACAGTGGAGCCCATGCCAGCCATGCTGGCTTGTGCAGCCAGGTCCACTCCGGGCCCTTGGGAGCACCAACAGGACGCAGGCAGGGAATGTCAGCATTCACATGAGGGCACGGGTGAGATATGCGGCATGCCAGCATCCAAACTTGTACTCAAACACAGGCTGCAATTGGTACTCTTTTAACTGGGTGTCCCAAATCCAGGCATGTGCGCGGCTCCGTGGCATGAGTTCCTGCTGCCAAATCAAAGCCAGGAGATGTGCCTGGAAATCAGATTAGGACAAGTGTTACATGTATCCCATACACGTCCCTCATCAGTGTCGCTTTCTTAGGTTTGCTAGACTGTGACACAGTCCCAAGAGTTATAGGGAAATCTACAAAACACAGTTGCAGTAACCAAGCACGGGCTTCAACGACAGGCCCTCTTCCTCCGTCCCATTTCCCACATACACCAAACCCTCTTTCTGCACCGTCACAGCTCTTGCTGCCGGGGATCTGAAAATGCACACGTAGATACTAGCACTCATCTTCCTCTGCCTTCACAGGCACACCAGCAGGGAGCTAGCTCAGACGTAGAGCAGCCAGGATACTAACTAGCACCCCACATGAGATGCTGGTGTCACAGAAGATGGCTTAACCCACTGCACTACAATGTCTGTTGGTTTTGAGAAATGCGTGAGGTCAGATATGTCAAGTTCAGATTCATGATTAATGGTTCATCTTTTGGATTCCAGTCAAGGACAAGAAGCTCCATGGGGCCAGTGCTTGTTGTCCTAAGTGGAGTTGCATATTTTCTCTATGTGTCTTGTTATATGCGCAGAAACTTTCAATACCGAAAGGCAGTCAGTGACCGGGCTGTTTGTACTTTCCCACATTATGTACAGATTCAGTAAAGGTGCCAGAGCGAGGAATGTGCTAGAACCCAGCAAGAGTCCTCAGGTCACACCGCCGCCCTCACGGCCTTCTCACGGCACTAGGGCGGCGTCTTCATCCTTGAGTAGGGCAGGCAGAGTTTAAGTTACATAGTCAAGTCATGTTTTAGCCATGTTTTACTGTAAAAAATGAGAGGTTTACCATCATCTTATTGATGGAGAAAAAGTCATTTGACAAAATCCCAAATTCTTTCATGATAAAAACACTTTATAAGTTAGGACTAGAAAGAAACTGTCTCAACGTAATAAAAACGCAAAAGGACCACAGCTCAAGTCATACTCAGTGGGGAAGATGGAAAGCTTTTGCTCCAAGACCAGGAACAAGGAAAGGATGTCTCTTGTTGCCACTTGTACTTGGCAGAGTCCTTGAAGTCCTTGTCAGAGCAGCTAGGTGACACAAAGAAACACAAGGCACCAAAAGAGGCAAAAACACCTTTGTTCACATCTTACACCAGCTTCTAATACCCAAAACTCCGAATAGTTCATAAGAATTGCTCAAACTAATAAGTGATTTCAGCAAGATAGCAGGACACAGAAATTAACATGTAAATTAGTTGGATTTTAATAAACTAATAATCATGAACTCAAAAAGGAAATAAGGAGAACAACCACATTCGCAACAGCATCAAAAATGCAATACTTAGAACCCGTGCTGTGAAGCAGCAGGTTGAAGCACCAAGTGCAATGCTAGCTACATGTCCGGCTGCTCCATTTCCAGCCCAGCTCTCTGCCACTGGCCCTGTGAGAGCAGCAGAAGTCTCCCACCAATTCCGTGGAGGACAGAACAGAGTGCCCAGCGCCTGCCTTCTGCCTGGCTCCAACGTGGCCATGAGTCATTTTTGGAGTGAAGCAACAGATGAAAGCACTCTCTCAGTCTCTCCTTCACTCTCTCTGTTCTGACTTTAAAATAAATAAACAGATATACAAATAAATAAATAAGCAACCTTAAAAAACAAATAATACTTAAAAAGGAAACCAACAAAGAAAGTGAAAGACTTGTACATAGAAAACTATAAAAACATGGCTAAAAGAAGTTTAATTTATTTGAAAATTTTTACTTTATTTGAGAATCTGAGTTGCAGTGAGAGAGGGAAAGTTAAAGAAGATACAGAGAGAATGAGAGAGAGAGAGAGACAGACAGACATTCTAATTTTTTTTTTAACTCAATGGCTACAGCAGCTGAAACTCGGCCAGCCAGAGCTTCTTCAGGGTCTCCCATGTGGTGGCAGGGACCCAAGCAGTTGGGCCATCGTCTTTGCTTTCCCAGGCTATTAGCAGGTGGCTGGATCAGAGGTAGAGCAGCCGGGACAGAAACTGGTGTCTGTATGGTCTGCAGTGTTACTGGCAGTGGCTATGTCTGCTACTAAATAATACTGGCCCCTCAAAGAAGTTTAAGATTATACAAATAACAAAAAGACATCCGTGTTTGTGGACTGAAGACACAACACTATAAATGCCAAAGTTAACTGAAAAGTCTATTCAGAATCAATGTAATCTGTGTCACAGACCAGTGGCAACATTTCCAGGCATCTTGAAACCTATATGGAATCAACAAGCTCTAAATCACTGAAAGATTATTTTTTAAATAGCAGTACTCAAGAGCCCACAGTTCCTGACTGCATACACACCCCAGGGGCTGGCATTGTGGCACAGCAGGTAAAGCTGCCACCTGTGACAGTGGCATCCCCGTCTGACCCAACTCCCCGCCAGTGGCCTGGGGAAAGTGGTAGGAGATGACCAAGACTTGGCTCCCTGCCATGCACGTGGAGAGTTCCTAACTCAGGCCTGCCTCAGCCCTTGCTAACCGCTCGCTGACCACTTGGGTAGCGAACTAGATGGAAGAGCTCAACCTGTGCCCCGTCTCTAACTCCGACTTCCAAATACATGAATCTTTAGACGCAAACACTACAAAGCAGCAATGATCAGAATGCTTTACGTGAAGACAGATATACAGACGAGTACCACAGTGAGTCAGAGATAATGCCCTTAGCATTGCACCGTTTGACAGGGATGCTAAATCATGGGGAAAAGAGAGTTTCTTAAGCTAATTGTGCTGGGGAAACATAACACAAAAGAGATAACCTGAATCTACCATATTCAAGTGGTAACTTAGAAAGTATTATAGGCACAAACATAAGATCTAACATCACCAAACTCCTAGAAGAAAACAGCAGACAAGATTCAGGACATCAGATTAGCAGTTATTCCTTGCATATTACAATTAATAATGTCAACCAATGTAACAATAGATATATGATAGTAAACTTAAAAACCTATGTGCATTAGGGCCCGGCGGCGTGGCCTAGCGGCTAGAGTCCTCGCCTTGAACGTGCCAGGATCCCATATGGCCACTGGTTCTAATCCCGGCAGTCCCACTTCCCATCCAGCTCCCTGCTTGTGGCCTGGGAAAGCAGTCGAGGACGGCCCAAAGTTTTGGGACCCTGCACCGTGTGGGAGACCCAGAAGAAGTTCCTGGATCCTGGCTTCGGATCCGCATCGGCCGTTGCGCTCACTTGGGGAGTGAATCATCGCACGGAAGATCTTCCTCTCTGTCTCTCCTCCTCTCTGTATATCTGACTTTCCAATAAATAAATAAATCTTTTTAAAAAACCTATGTGCATTAAAGGAAACAATCAACACACTGAAGAAGCAATCTACAGATGAGAAGTAGTATGCCCAAGTCATTAATCTGATAAAAGCTCACTCTGTAAGGAACTCCTGCAGATCTGCAATGACACCACCAACCATAACGAGACAATCTGATTAAAACCAGGAAAGGGATTAAACACAAATGATCATCAAGCACAGGAAAAGAATCCTCACCATCAGTGACCTTAAGACACAGGAAAATAAAAACCATAATGTGCATCACCTCACAGCTGGGAGGATGGCCACCACCCAGAGAACTAGAGTCGGGACAAGGCGGGACCTTATGCGCTGCTGTTGGCAACACCAACTGGTGCAGCTGCTGTGGAGGGCTGTATGCAGGCTCCTCAAAACCACAGACAACGCATCATGGCACAGCGCAGCAACTCTACCTGAGAGAATCCAAAACAGGATCCGAAGAGACGTCACATGCTCACGTTCACTGCAGTGTTATTCACAAGAGCTCAAGGGGTAGAAGCATATGCAGCATCTACTGACAATAAAGAAAATGGGGCATGCACAGACAGACCTCAGTATCTGCAGGTTCCACACTGAGGGCTTAACCAGGCTCAGCGTTAATGTGACCTAGAGAGGATTTCGCGTCAACTGCAAGATGTGCATCGGCTCTCTGCCCTGCTCCACACCATTTCACACCAGGACCTGGACCGTCCGGGCCCTGAGCCGGCCTGCCAAGCATCCCCAGGGAGCACTGTGCATGCTGCAATGTCCCAGAGCTCTTTTAGGAGAAAGAAATCCTGCCACAGGCTGCAACATGGCCACGTCTTGAGGACATTACAAAATAGACCAACTACCACACAGCAGATGCTATACGATTCCAGTCACATGAAATTTCCACAACTTGTGAAAAAAAAAAAATCACAGGGAGAAAACGGGAGAAGGCACTTCCTACTGTACACATATCATGATGGAGAAGAAATCCAATCCATCACACTGCAGGCCGTTTTGTCATGCATACAAATTAAGTGTGTAACATTTAAAAAAAAATGGCTGGCATAGATTTCTTTTTAAAGTGAAATTGCTTTATTCTGGGGCTGACTGACTAAATCTGTCAAACGTGAGAAGAAGCTGCCCTGCTCAACAACAGACTGATGGTGCACAGGTCAGCCTGGCAGTCGAAAGGAGCGCTCCCTCAGACACAGCGCTCAGCCCCAGTCACAGGAAGTCCATGGACAACCCTGCAATTAAATTTGATAGTTCCCCCCTCAACAGAATCTGTTTGGGAAATTATGCACTGAATAAAGAACTTCCAAAAGAAATGGACTGCAGGGTCAGCACTGGTGCAGGGTCAGCACTGATGCAGGGTCAGCACCAATGCAGGGTAGCACTGGTGCAGTGTCAGCACTGATGCAGGGTCAGCATTGGTGCAGGGTCAGCACTGGTGCAGGGTGGCACTGGTGCAGGGTGGCACGGTTGCAGGGTCAGCACCGAT